TGTTATTTTTGTTTCCCTTCCTTTATGTTCATCTGTTTTGTCTCTTAAAGTCTTCATATGAGTGAGGTCATATGATTTTTGTCTTTCTCTGAATTTCACTTAAGGATAATACCCTCCGGTTCCTTCCACATAGTTGCAAATGACAAGATTTCATTCTTTTTGATTGACAAGTAATACTCCATTGTATATCTATAACACATCTTCTTTATCCATTTATCCATCGATGGACATTTGGGCTCTTTCCATACTATGGCTATTGTTGATAGTGCTTTTATAAACATGGGGGTGCATGTGTCCCTTCGAAACAGCACACCTGTATCCCTTGAATAAATGCCTAGTAGTGCAATTGCTGGGTCGTAGGGTAGTTCTATTTTTCGTTCTTTGAGGAACCTCCATACAGAGTGGCTGCACCAGCTTGCATTCCCACCAGCAGTACAAAAGAGATCCTCTTTCTCTGCATCCTCACCAACATCTGTAGTTGCCTGAGATGTTCATGTTAGCCATTCTGACAGGTATGAGGTGGAATCTCATTGTGGTTTTGATTTGTATTTCCCTGATGAGGAGTGATGTTGAGCATTTCTTCATGTGTCGGTTGGCCATCTGGATGTCTTCTTTGGAGAAGTGTCTATTCATGTCTTTTACCCATTTATTCACGGGATTATTTGCTTTTGGGGTGTTGAGTTTGATAAATTCTTAGTAGATTTTGGATACTAACCCTTCATATGATATGTTGTTTGCAAATATCTTCTCCCATTCTGTCGGTTGCCTTTTAGTTTTGCTGATTGTTTCCTTCGCTGTGCAGAAGCTTTTTATTTTGATGAGGTCGCTGTAGTTCACATTTTTGCTTTTGTTTCCCTTGCTTCCAGAGACGTGTTGAGTAAGAAGTTGCTGCGGGCAAGATCAAAGAGTTTTTTGCCTGCTTTCTTCTCGAGGATTTTGATGGCTTCCTGTCTTACACTGAGGTCTTTCATCCACTTTGGGTTTATTTTGGTGTATGGTGTAAGAAAGTGGTCCAGGTTCCTTCTTCTGCATGTCGCTGTCCAGTTTTCCCAACACCACTTGCTGAAGGGAATGTTTTATTCCATTGGATATTCTTTCCTGCTTTGTCAAAGATTAGTTGGTCATATGTTTGTGGGTCCATTTCTGGGTTCTCTATTCTGTTCCATTGATCTGAGTGTCTGTTCTTGTGCCAGTACCATACTGTCTTGATGATTATAGCTTTGTAGAGTATAGCTTGAAGTCCGGGGTTGTGATGCCTCCTGCTTTGGTTTTTTTTCAAGATTGCTTTGGCTAGTCGGGGTCTTTTCTTGTTCCATACAAATTTTAGGATTATTTGTTCTAGCTCTGTGAAGAATGCTGATGTTATTTTGGTAAGGATTGCATTGAATATGAAGATTGCTTTGGGTAGTATTGACATTTTACAATATTTATTCTTCCTATCCAGGAGCATGGAATCTTTTTCCATTTTTTTGTGTCTTCTTCAATTTCTTTCATAAGCTTTCTATAGTTTTCAGTGTATAGATTTTCCACCTCTTTGGTTAGATTTATTCCTAGGTATTTTA